TAATAAGCTAAGGTGATATAAAACATAAAAATATTATAAATATGATAAAACGTTAAAATAATTTAAATGAAACGTTAAACTTTCAAATCGACTTATTCAAACCAATTTCTTCATTTTAACCTGAAAATCAACTTGTTTCATATTTATATAAAAATCATGATAAATAATAACAGATAACGTAAATATATCAAATTGTTGCTAACTTAATATGTTCATAACTTTCGTATTTCGTTTTCATAGCCCAAAGTATATTTAAGAGAATACAAGTTACGTGATTAAAACATAAGGTGCACAATAGGCACATCATGGTGCCAATCATAACATATCATAAGATGCACTCCAAGTGCAAATCGTAACATATGCACCAACAGTGTTAATCATGATGTACACGAATGTATCATAACTTGACTTGAAAGTACTTAACTTAATAGCATGTCAAATGTACCAACGACTCTCAATGCAACATACAGTGGTATTTAGATCATATTATAGTTATTTTTAATTCATCATCGTAAAAGCATAAATTTGGACAGTTCATACCCTAAATCATTCTTAAAACATTTATATAAACATTATGGAAATAATCCATAATTAAAGTGAAAAATATACTTTAAAAATAATATGAAGTTGACTAATCACAAGTCATCCTTGTTCAAAATAATGAAATAAATAAACTACACTCACCTTAGTCTCACTATCGAATCTTTATATACGACACTCCTAATCACTTGTTGTGTTATTTCCTTTTGGATCGTTTGAATCGCTAGATTTTTCGTGATCTAACAACACCACATATTAACACAAGGTATTCAAACTATATGTTAGTATCGTACTAACATAAGCTAACTTTAAGAACATAAAGATCGGTAAAATAAAATCGATAATAACTATAATAACTAAATCATTTTTCTACCATACTTCAAACTTCCCAAAATGATTATTTATTTCCATCAATATTTACTTTTTGTCACTAATCCTTCAACTTTTATTAACTTCATAATCAAATCATTAATTACGAATTGTTCTAGAATTCACCTTAACTTTTTCATTAAATTCATATTGATCCTTCACCGTTATGATCATTGCTTATTAATAACTGAATTTTCCAGCACCTTAATAAAATATCCAAATCAATACTCCAACATTCAAAAACTTGAAATTTCATCCTAAACTTTCGAATTCAACCTCCTAACTTGATAAACTTGGAATTTGATCCCAACTCAATATTTAAACTAAAAAAATTCAGCTTACTAATAAAATTTCCACCATTGCAATAATCTACCCAAATGATACTTCTACATTTAACAACTTGTAATCATGTCCCTATAATATTGAGACCTTTCGAAATCCACCCTCAACTTTACTAAAATTTGCAATTTGGTTGCAATCAACTTTTTAGCTTAAAATTCCAACATTTCAATGTTAAAAATTAACATTAAACACCCCAAATATCAAATTATTTCAATAATGTTCTACAATTCTCAAAACTTGTAAACTGGGCCTTTTCTATATCAAGCTTCCAAATTGATCTCCAAATCAAATGAAACGCTTCTAATATCAATTTTAGATCATAGGAAAATTTTCAACATTTTCCCCTATTTTTCCTTGTATGGGCAAATGCTTCATATTACCTAGGGTAGACTTTTTGTTCAATTTCAAGCATGAATTCATTTTCCTTACATTAAATACATGCTATTCATCATAACAACAAATTAAATCCAAATCCATCAATTCTTCATAAACCCTAAATTGGTCAAACCTAAATAAACAATTATAAATAATTTCAATTGTCATACATGCCTTAGAATTAATATCCAACTTCAAAAACATAATAAAGTTTCATCAAATCTTCAAAATCCATAAACCCTTCATAAATCCTAATCACCAAATCTCAACATTCAAGCATGTTTAACATGTATTTCTTATACCAAAGGTTAGAGAATTTGATGGAGAACATTTTTCTATAACAACTTGCTACAAAATCTTTCTAAAATAGCTCAAAAATGAAAAAGAATTTTTTTTCTTACCTTGTATGGGTTTGCGGCGGCAGCTGATGAAAGAAGATGTCTTGATTTTTCTAGTAATTTTCTTAATACACATGGCATTTAAGCTAATTAAATTGAATATAAAATTCAATTTATGAGAAATCCCTAATTTGCCATTAATGAATCTTGAAAATTACCAAATGTCATTGCATTATCTTCCATTAAAATATTCCTTAGTCAAAGATGAATCAACTTGGCTTTACTTTCTATTTTGGCCATGAAATTTTTGAAAATTTCATTTTAGTCACTAAAATTCCATTGTTCGGCCAAAACTAAAAAATTATACTAATATGTACTAAATTTATCTGATCTAAAATATGAATCTAAAATTCCATTGTTCGGTCAAAGATATTGAATTTTATCGCTTTTAACACAAATCACGTACCAAAAATCTGATTACCACGAAAATCATTGTTTTAGGCCAAATTGTTCATTTACGGGATAAAATATATAAATTTTCAAAATTATATATTTGGTTCCTAATTTTTTTCAAAGTTTATACTTTAGCCACCAAACTTTCAAAACTTATATTTTAGTCACTAGATAAAATTTGGAATATTACATGACGTGGCATGCTGTGATAATTTTTTAATAATTTTAAAATTTTCACGTCGACAATCAAATTTTATTTTTATTCAACCAATAGGTGTATCCACTCTATGAAATAAAATTGATACAATTATTGCTTAGTGTGGGAATTGAACCCGCGCCCTCCTAGAGAAAAGGAAAATGTTTAGCCACAGGCAAAAGATGGTAAGTATTACTTATTCACCACAAAAGATATTTAATTTTACTATATTACCATCACAAAACAAGATATTTTAATTAAAACTAGGACTCAAACTTAGGACTTCTCCCTAAGAAAAATCAGTGTTCAACCATTAAGCTAGTATATGAAATTGGTCATATATATCATTAGTTTTATATTTAATTTATATAATTGTTTAATTAAAGAATAAATAATTTAAAAAATATAAAACATTTTTAGTATAAACTAGATAAAATATTAAATCATTAAAATAAACACTATTTTTGAACTTTATAAATCCTTTATTAATTTAATATTAATTAAATAAAAATAATTTAATTGGAGGAAAAAACATATATGAAAGGATAATTTTATGATAAATACAAAAAGGAAGTTGAAAAAAGTGTGCAGGGAAATTTAATAAACGCAAAGAAGTTTCTTTATTAAATTACTTACTTTAGAAATTGGATTGTATAATGTCAACCATTGAACTGGTCAACCACGTCATAACTAAATCGTTCCAGGTCAACTCAGATAAATTTGGGTCAAAGTTGATAAGATTTTCCAAGGCCATAATCAATTCTGAAAACTCCTCGATTTATAATGTCAATTGAAATATGAAAATTAAAGGTACAAGCACGAATAAAGTGATTTCCGTGGTAAATGAATTATTGTTATTCTTGAAGATTCGAGTTTGAGCACTATAGATGTTATGTATGTGAGCATTCAATGCTGAAAGGTTAAGAGTTATCTTTGAACAAATAATGTCTTCTACTTACCTTAGATTATTAAAAAAATTAAGATACAAACCATCACCGCTTCCAAAAATATCTAATCTAGTTGTTTTTCATTCTTTCCTCATCATGTCCTACGTTTGATATCTATTTTAATTTTTTTCACTTTTTAAATATATGATACATCCGTAAAAATATGAAAACATATTTCCAAAACATAAGAAATATTATGTTGAAAAGGTTTATAATTGAAGTTACTGGACTGGACAACCGCAAGCGTAGTGAATGATTTACATAGGCCCAGCAAATTATTGTGAAATGGAATTTTGTTGAATCTATCCAATAACAATATTTGTATTAGAATTGAGCCTTATTTGCCTCATGAGCTCATCACTGTGTTCTATTTGCTTTTCTCTTTCTAATTTCGGCTCCTTGTTCTTCCATGGTGTGCAGAGACTAAATGCATGATTTTATGTTAGGAGATGAACTTAAACTTAAAGAGGATTAACTAAAATTTCAAGAGGAACGAACTAAAATACTGAGACAAAACAGATTTTCAATAAGAAATACATAAAAAAATTAAAATATATAGAATTTTAAATTTTCAGAAGATCATTACCCCCACCGTCTCCCTCGATCCATCCTGATGGTGTATATCCATGCAAATCATTATCATCTCAAGAAAGCTCCAATTATCGAAAGATAAACCATATTAATAGGTTATTAACTGAATTCCTCTTAATATTTCATTTGAGTAAATTGGAATCAATCATGATATTGGTGCTTTCAAACAAGACCTTCGTATAATATTCTGTCACAAAATCATGTTTTCTGAGTTGAACGAAAACACTTCATGCAAACATGTTTTGATCATTGTCTGGTTCTGTATGGATAAACATACGTGTTTCACTAACAACAACCTCAAAATTTATCCTATTATGCCTAGTTGATATATATATATATATATATATATATATATATATATATATATATTTGTTCCTTTGAGGATCCTTTGACATGTGATAATCGCATAGGGGTTTTAATCTATACAAAAATGAAATTCTTTAAACACTGTATTTTTTATATATAAGATTCAACCTTCAAATCTTACTTAAAAGATATCAATAATGATAACCACATGAACTCAATTGAATCGCTTATACAACAATAATTTATTCCAAGGTAATATATGTTCATAATTTTTTTTAATCATTAACAACATGCGTACCTTTACAGAAATAGTTGCTCAAACTTAAGACCTTAAGGGATAATAAAATATTTTATTTGTAACTACATGAAATCTTATTATTGGTTGATATTCTAGAGGAACTTTAAGAATAAAATAAAATAATTATAAAATAATTTATTTGTAAGTTATTCATTTAAGTTATAGTTGTATCTATTTTGAGGATAACATATTATCTAGTAATCTTAACCACCTGGGTCCAATAGTTTGATGAAAGATAGAGGCAAAGAAGGAAGGAGGGAAAAGGGCCAAAAAGGAAGAGAATGGGAACGAGAGAGAGGGAGAGGGAGAGGGAGAGGGAGAGGGAGAGGGAGAGGGAGAGGGAGAGAGAGGGAGATCTGGAGCTGCTAATCCCTGTAGCATCAATCTGTGAAGATGAAGCCTCCGAATCCTCCACCCCTCCCGCTATTCCCACCGCCTCCCACGGCCGGGAGGTGCCTAATTTCTTCTTTCTTTTTGCGTTTTCATTCTCATTTTGGGTTTCTATAGGGACATGCATGGGCAATGACTCGAGATGAAAATTTATTTTATATTATCCATTATGGAAGGTTACATGAGAGGATGCCACGGGTTAGGAGCTTTAGGGTCTCAATCCTATCATTTTACGAAAAATACAGACAGCGTTGTTTGAACCGTCGGTTAGGTTTGAAATTTGAAAAGAAAATATTGACAACGTTTTATCCTCTGGTGATTTATCACGTTTAAGATGAGAGTAAAAAATTCATACAGCTTCTTGTTTGTGACTATAGTTTTGGTTTTGTTTTGCATTTTGTCATAGGCCTTTTTAAAAGTCATCCGCAGCTGGGTTTGGAAAAAGTTTATGACAGGATGGTAAGTCCCTTTCATCTTCAAGCTTTTCTTCAACCTGAATATTTAACCTGAAAATGATCAGAATCGTCAAGAGTAAAACTAACCGAGATAGTTCGGATTGTCATTGTGATGAAATGATATATATATTACTTCTTTGCAGTGTCATACTTTTTCCACTAGGCATTACATTCTATGTTTCTTGGGGTTTAATTCACCTCGTTGATGGTTTCTTCTCCCCAGTATTCGATCATCTAGGAATCAATATTTTTGGTAAGCTGAATTTACATTCCTTTAATTTCTAGGATCATGCTTTAGCTTTTTCTAAAACATAACCTACAATCAATATTCATCATCTAAATGAATCCGGAGAAGCATTTCCATTCAAATTATACACGTACTGCTTCGAATGATTTGACAAAACACGATGCAGGTCTGGGATTTGCTACATCCATCGCATTCATCGTTTTAGTAGGCATTTTCATGTCGTCATGGTTAGGAGCTTCAGTTCTTACTCTCAGCGAATTGTTCATTAAGAAGATGCCTCTCGTGAGTTATATTTACAGTGCCTCAAAGCAAATAAGTACGGCGATTTCACCAGGTAAGTCTTCAGTCTTCCCGTACATTGAACGTTTATTGTCTGCGGTCCCCAAACTAACTCCAAAACCGATTTCACAGATCAGAATTCTAATGCTTTCAAAGAAGTGGCGATCATTCGGCATCCTGGTAAGGGGCAATACATGTTCGGTTTCATTACTTCTACAGTTGTTCTTCAGAAGGGTGTATGTGCAGAAGAACTCTGCTGTGTTTATGTCCCTACAAACCATCTGTATCTCGGTGATATCTTTCTCATTAGTTCAAGGGATATTTTGAGGCCTAATTTATCCGTTCGAGAAGGGATCGGTACGAAACTCAAACTCGAAACTTGAACACAAAACGAAGACCGAGTCTTCCCATTATCATTCAACTTTTTTTTGTTGCAGAAATTGTGATCTCCGGGGGTATGTCTGTGCCTAAACTATTCACCACAGTTGATGCGTCAGGCATTTCAACAAGAACAATCAACTTTGAAGGATCGATAAGAGAATGGAAGAATAATAATTAAAGCTCAATTCCTGTCCGTTATTTTATACATGCTGGATGAACCCTAGACAGTTCATTTAAGAAATCAATCTTTTGAGAACGAAAGGAAAGGAATTCTGATCTCTTGCAGGCAACGGAAATCCGAAGCGATTACGAAACCATATACCACGAAGACATTATATTCTTTATATACATATAAGGGTGAATAAAACTCGAGTCGAGTAGAAAAATCGAAAAAAAAATCAATTTTGAGTTATTCGAGTCAACTCGAATTATAAATTCGGTTTTTTAGTTCGAGTCGAGTTGAAATTTTGAAATTTTGAGTTACTCGAAAATTAAAAAAATTTGAATAAATATTTTGATAGTTTTACGATTTAGTCCTTAATTTCATTATTCCTTCGATTTCTCCATCATTTTAAGTTCACTTTTACCAAATTTTAACTACATGCTCATAAACCATCATAGAATAAATATGTATTTTTAATTCCACTTTTTGATGATAAATTATTTATTTTTCAATTTAGTCCTTAATTTTTCATAAGTTCCTTATTTCTTCAATTTATCCTTTATTTTAAGTCATTTTTACCAAATTTGAACTACATACTCATATACCACAATAAAATACCTATGTAACTTCATTTCCTCTTTTTGATAATATTTTTTATTTTTCAATTGAATCCCTCAATTTTTCATAATTTTCTTATTTCTTCAATTCATCCTTTATTTTATGTCCATTTTTACCAAATTTGAACCACATGCTCATATACCAAAATAGAATACCTATGAAACTTCAATTCCTCTTTTTGACAATTTTTTTTATTTTTTAATTAAGTCCCTCAATTTTTCATAATTTCCTTATTTCTTCAATTCATCCTTTATTTTAAGTATGTTTTCACCAAATTTGAACCACATGCTCATATACTACAATATAATATTATGTAACTTCAATTTCTACCTTTTTTTTTACTAAAAATGCACTCTCTTTTTTACTTAGTCCCTTAACTTTGCATTTTACTCAATTTTATCTTTTAACTACAATTCTTTTATACTCTCATCAATATTTTCCACTCAAAATATTTTCTTTGAAATATAATATTATGATTATATTTATATATTAAATAATATTATAATGTGAAAAGAATATATATATAGTCGAAAGATTGAAACAAATCCTTGACATCATACTATAAATAATTATAATAAAATTGGTATAGAAACTCGAATAACTCGACTCAAATTTCTTAAACTCGACTCGAGAAAATTTCAAGTTCAAATTATAAAATATAACTCGAATAACTCGTAATGTTTTTACTCGATTCGACCAAATGCTCACCCCTAGATATATATATATATATAAATGGAATAATGGATGGTGGGTCTTAATACTGTTCAAATTAGAGTTTCTTTCCTTTTTGTTCTTGGGTTATAACTTAACTCTGTTGATAAAACTTCATTAGTTGTATTCGTTAAATTATATAAGATGTTGTGAATAAAAAATAAGAACTCTTATCAAACAAAATATAACATGTATTTTTAATATTTTTATTATTAATAAATATTAAATAATAGTGTTCTTCAAAAATACTTTTATTAGAAAATATTTGAATTTAACGAGGAAGCACGAATCAAGTAATCTCGGAAACAAAGCACGGAACTAGTTTTACTATATCCTTATTGAGCCATGTCAAGCCAAAAACAGTTGATTTTGCTTTTGGGTAAAATACCCAAACTCACTGTCCCTATGTTCTTAATGCTAACTGTTTATTTATTTCTTTTAAAAAATATATGTTTATTTATTCTACTTATAATTAGAAAGTAGAATACGTACTGTAAGAAACTATTATGTTTATGGAGGTGGAGTTTGGGATTGATCGTGAGCACCGTTTTGTATTGGTGTTGAAGATGAATTGGGAGTTAGGGTTCGATCGTGAGGGTATTTGGGATTAGGGATTAGTTGTGATTAGGGGGTAATCTGATTATATTGAATTGTATGTGTCTAAACTACGCTGGGTCACTTAGTAGGCTTAGTTGGGTCGGACTATTATGATGGAATGGGCTCAAGTTGCAGTAAGCCCAGTATGATATGTTTGATGGCTGTTGTTATTTGTGCCTGCATTGTGAGTATATAAAATGAGAAGTGTGTAACCAAGAATGTATAGGACAACTTGAAAAGATATAGAACTCTCGAATCTTACCTTCATTCTCTTCTGTAATCTCTCTTCTCTGCAAGTCATTACAATTGGTATCAAGAGCCAGTCACAGATCCAACAAATCTGGGAAAGTTAAAGAAAATGAAACAAAAAGATGGTGACAATAACTAATCAAGCACTACTTCCATCCAAGATCAGTCTTCTAAAAAACATGAAAAGGAAGAAGAGCTACCTTCTTGGTGTAAGAAAGAAAAGAATTCGTTGGACCAAAGATTCTCGATCTTAGAAGAAAGAACCGAGGAAGCAAATGGGCACGTACAGAGGGTTTTGAAGCTGTTAACTAAGGCAGCGGAGGGAACTGAAGTTATGCCTGCTAGCAGCCAACAAAAACATAAGAGTAAGATTGATGGAAAATAAGCCAACAGGTAACAATCTTGAACAAAAATGAAAGGTATTCCTTCAACCCTCAAGAACCTGGTATATTAGCTTCAAGATCACAATCAGTAAGTACTTCTGTTTTACATGAAACTTCTTTGCACCCACCCACCACACCCCAAAAAATGCCAAAATGTACCATAAAGAATACTTGAGGTAATAAAGAAGGATCTTCAATGGAATATGAGCACCAGAATATGCATGTTCCTAAGCCTAGGATTGAATTGCCTATGTTTGATGGGACTAATCCTAGAAGTTGGGTTAGGAAATGTCAAAGATATTTCTCTATATTAGTTGTTCCTGAATATCAAAAACTTGAGATTGCTTCTATGTATCTAATTGGACAAGCTGAAGTTTGGTTTGATGGATATTTGATGCAAAAAACTAGAATTACATGGCAAGAATTTGTGGCAGATTTATGTCATCGGTTCTGTGATATGAACTACACTGATATAATTTATGAATTTAACAAGTTAGTCCAGAAATATACAGTGGCAGAGTATCAAGCACAATTTGAGCAATTAAAACCATTTATGTTACAACATCTCATTTGGGAGAAAGTTATTTTGACTCCAGTTTCATTAGTGGACTAAAAGAGGAACTTAAACACAAGGTGAGGGTTCATGAACCACAACAATTACAGGAAGCTGTTAGAAAGACAAAACTTTATGAGTTGGCATTGGAGGTTGACAGCAGGAGTCCAGCAGCATACAATCCCATGACACAAAAATCATCTAATCTGCCAGTTCAAGCATTGCAAAGAACTCCAACAACAGTGAACACTGCTAGACAAAATTTGATGGATTATAGGAGATCAAACAATTTATGTTTCAAATGCAGGGGGAAATTTGGACCAGCTCACCATTGTAAACAGCAACAGTTAATTATGATGGAGGAAACAGAGGCATTTCAAAATGTACAGCAGTCAGAATTGATGCAAGATGAAGACCAAGAAGAAGACAACTTGGAAATCTCAATTAATACGCTGAATGGAAACACAGGCCATAATGCTCTCAGAATTAATGGCACAATACGATGCAGACCTTTGAGCATACTAGTAGATAGTGGAAGCACTCACAGTTTTATTACACCAAATTGAGCTAAAGATGGAGTGGAACTAGTTAATACTCAACCATTGGTTATTACTGTAGCTAGTGGAGAAAAATTACACAGCACAGCTAAGAGCAAAAATTTGGAGTGGAAGATGCAAGGGCACAATTTTCAACATGATTTCCGGGTTTTGAAGATGGGAGGCAGTGATATGGTATTATGAGTGGATTGGCTAAAGTGATATAGCCCATTATGCATGGATTTCAACGCAATGAAACTGACATTTACAAAAGATGACAAAGAAATTACATTGCAAGGAAGACACATGAATTCTGCTGTCAGAACGATTTCGAGGGCAAAATTACAGAAATTAGCAGCTAAAGACTCAGAGTTAATGGGAGAAATGTATTATTTAAGTGTTGAAGAGGAACACAACTGTGAATTACCTACTGTCATACAGCACTTGCTACAGCAATACTCTAAAATTTTTAAAAAGCCTAATGGTTTTCCTCCAATTCGAAATCATGACCATACTATCACATTACATCCTAATACCCAGCCTGTTAATATGCGGCCATACAGATTCCTTTATCAACAAAAATAGAAGTGATAGAACACGTGAGTCTATTAAAGAAACGAATCGATCCAAATGACATTACCTCTTTGCATCCTTCCGACATTGGAGACAACGGCCACCTGCGAGTGTACCCAGCGGGTGTCTCACTGTTTTGGATAAGCGGATTATAAAACGGAACAACCAGGCGGTGACCAAACTTTGATACAGTGGGCGAGCCTTGGAGACAAGGCTCGAGTGCAGCGGGGGGGGGGGGTTATGGAGGTGGAGTTTGGGATTGATCGTGAGCAGCGTTTTGGATTGGTATTGAAGATGAATTGGGAGTTAGGGTTCGATCGTGAGGGTATATGGGATTAGTTGTGATTTGGGGTTAGTATGATATATTGAATTGTATAATATTGTTTGTTTTTCATATGTAAAAGGTCTGTAGTCTACGTATCATATCTGCAGTCATCTGCAACAATAAAAGAGGTGAATTAAAAATCTACAGTCTGCAAGAAGAAGACTGTTTATTTTTTAACATCTGCAGACTACTAAAATAAACTGAAATATAAATAAACTGATTTTTTAAACTTAAAAGAGTTTTGTAATACTGAAATTTAAATAATTTTAGTTTTATAATACTAAAATTTAAATAATTCATACAACTACAATAATAATTTTTTTTTTAGAAAAACAAACATCCCCTTATTAATTCTATTATAAGTCTCACATAATCACATGTATTATTAGTTTTATAAGCTTTATAGAATAAAATTTATAAATGATCATTAAATTATATGATTTTTTTAAATATGTAATTATGTAATACTTTTAATTTTTTTTAAATATATATTCATAATTTATTTTTATAATTATATGGTATTTTTAGAAAATGTTTTTTAATTTATCAAATTATTTTATGATTATTTTTTATTTAATTGTGATTATATTTTAAAATTTTAAAAACATAATTTATAATTTTTTATATTTTAAAATCTTAATTATCAAACAATGAAATCATTTTTTATTAAGCAATGTGGTTTAAATACTTACATTTTGTATAAAAAGTTTAAATATAATTTAAAAATAACAAATCCAAAAAAAAATATTATATTTAAACTTAAATAAAAATAATTAAAATAAATATAAAATTTTAATAATATATGAAATAATTTATATGATATAAAATTAAATATCTATAATATAATATTAAAAAATTAATATTTAATTTATTTAAAAAATTAATATTAAAATTAATATCTATAATATAATATTAAAAAATTAATATTTAATTTATTTAAAAAATTAATATTAAAATTAAAATTAAATATAATATAAAATTAAATATAAAACCTCTTTGAAGAGGTTAGAAGACGTCTGCAGACATAAGACTACGTCTGCGCCGCGCAGGCTACGTGCAGACGTTAAATGAGTTTCTGTCTTCTAAAAAATAAATGGTCTGCGAAGCTCAATGTCTGCTCGTGGTCTGCGCGGCGCAGACATAAGAGCTTTGTAGACCTTACACAGTAAAAACAAACACTACCTATGTGTCTAAACGACTTTGAGTCACTTAGTAGGGTTAGTTGGGTCGGACTATTATGATGGAATGGGCTCAAGTTGCAGTAAGCCCAGTATGCTATATTTGATGGGCTGCTGTTATTTATGCCTGCATTGTGAGTGTATAAAATGAGAAGTGTGTAACCAAGAATGCATCCGACAACTTGAAAAGAAATAAAACTCTGGAATCTTACCTTCATTCTATTCTGTAATCTCTCTCTTCTCTGCAAGTCATTACAGAAACCTCAAAACCCCCATGCTATTACCAATATTTATGCTTCCCTCAGACCACTGCCTTTTCAAACAAAGCCTAAAAAGAAACCCAAAACTCTCAAGTGAAAACATAAACTCATTTATTAATTGAAGTATGTTATTTTTATCTAAATGTTAACTCAAGACCTAATGTGGACAAAAGAAATTCAGGCACTAATATAAAAAACTAAAGGATTAATATGAGAAAGTAAACAAATTCAGGGACTAAATAAAGCTTTATCTCATTTTTCTATTTAACCTGCCTGGTCCCCCTCCCCCGGGGGGGCCCCGGGCTTCACTTTTGTGTACAGAAACTGTGCCGACCTGTAAGTTGGCTAATGGGAGGTGGAAAAAAAGATGTGTTTGCATGACGGGCTTTTGGCCCATGCGTCCATGAGCATTCAATATTCCTTCATCGGCGACGAAGCCCACCGGAAAACCCAAGAAAGACTGGATCTGCTTTGCGGTATAATTCCCGGTGAAAATAAATAACTAAATAAATAAATAAGTGAAGATCTCGATTTTTCCGCCAACCTCGTCCTGTTGTGTCCGATCCTTGCTAGTTGCATCTTCCGAGGAAATGAATGCATCTTTGGAAAGAAGCTACACAAATTGCAAGACCACTGCCGCCGATTCTCCCGCCGTCAACGCCGGCGAAATCAAAGTACGCCCCTCCATGACTGACGCCAGGATCGTCAACGGTCCCAGCTTGGCTGGTTTGACTTTTGCAGTTAAAAAACCCGGCTTCTACCGTTACGTCCCCAAAAAGGCAAGCTTTACTTGAAAAGATCTCTTCCTTTAACAACTCTTTTGAATAAATCATTGACTTAGTTAACTAATCGAACTTTCTCGCATTCTTTCATTGCGGTGGGATTGTGGGTTTCAGTTAAGGAACACATTTAGGCTTGCGAAGAAACCATTTGAGCTAAGTTACGGTCGCAAGAGAGGGGACAAACGGACAGTATACGACGGGGCAGTGGTGTTCGATTCCGGTAGCAAGGTGTCGGCTTCTTACGTGCTCGGTACGAGGAACTGTAAGCTCAAGTATAGTTACTTGCATGGAGGTGTTACAACATTGGAGCCTTGCTATGATTTGGGGAGGAATGCGTGGGATTTTGCAATTTCCAGGAGATTATACGACAATGTCTTTAAGGCGACTTATCAGATATGGAGCAAGAATTTGGCTTTGGAGTGGTTGAGAAATCGTGTGTTTAATGGGACTTTTAAGGTAACTAAAACTAACTTAAATCACTATTTCTTTCATCTTTTTTATTGAATTTTTTGGGCACTATGGTCTTCAAGTCTACAATTTAAGTCTAGATCGTAGGAAATACTGCGTTTTCCCCCATTTTATTACAATGTAGCGAGAGGTTCTTTTTCAGTAAAGAATATGGTGGAAGTGAACTATTCATGTCACATGAGGATGAACTGTATGCTATTCAGACTTAGGTCTGTGTTAAACCCTGTCTGGTTCGGATATGTTTGATTTTCCTTTCCAACATTTCTATGTATACTTGGAATCTTAGAGGATCACATGGTGATATCCATCTTCTGATGTGTGCTGGACATGTATACTTAAAGAAAAATGAAGTCAGAGCAACATAGGTTCTAGATGAGAGCAACAATGAAAACTGAAGTAATGTGAAGACTAGGAAGTGTGACATTTTATGTAAGAGACAACACGGCTGCCTGTTTTGGTTCCAAGGAAGACAATTAGATGGCTGATGTTTCATTACATCCCGCGATCTCTAGAAACTTGATCAGTTTTCTAGTGTTTGAGAAGGATGTAGAGTGTTGTCCCTGCAACAACTCACTGCTGGAATGCTGCTTCAGATGTTAAGAGCTTGAAGCAAAGCTAGGCAGCCTATGCTTTCAATGGCTTGATCGTTTTGCTCACGTCTTTTTGGAATTCACTTTTCGTTTCTATGTGCTTAAGGCAAGGATTCTACTTAACGACCGAGTCATTTCGAGTACTTAAAAATGACACTCCCTCTCATTACTTCCAACTGATTAACAATTATATCAAAGGTGAAGCTAGGTCATGTTGCTTTTATGTAAGCGGAACTAGTGATTTGTTGAGAGGCCTGCCAGTGCGGATGCAATCTTTATACGGAATCACTTCAATAACTAAGTTTCTCGGACCAAGGAGATAGCAACGACCCTGTGCACTCTGCTGTAAAGACTGGATGTATTGTAGAGAGGAACATCATTTTTTTGTGATTTATGAGAAGATCCCTTGTGGTTTCTTTCTTGAAATGATGACGACTTAGTTAGCGATATAACAACTTATCATAAATTACTTTTAATACTCGTCTGAGATTATTTCTAACCATGATCGTATTTGCATTCCAGATTTCAGCATCCGTCAACCTGGCAGAAAAATCTAAGGACCCGAAATTTATCGCCGAGACTACTTGGGAGCTGGAAACATGATTTGTTGTAATCTTGTGTACTTGCATGTTTGAATCGTATAAAATTTGGAGAAACGGCTTACCATCCTTAAGCTGCTCCAATATTACAATCTCAATGGACAGTGACTGTAACAAACTTGTACCACTAGTTTATCAGATTTCAGGTCCCAATTTCAGCAAGTTGTCAGTATTTGTTAAACTCTGTTTGCCCATTTGTGATCAGAAAAAGCTGTCATCAAACCAGGAGAGAGATGCAAAGAAAGATTCTTTATCTATAGAAGCAATTTGGTTTTGTCTAGTGAAACTGAAGCTTGAAGCAGGTTAGTTGCTTAGGGTATGTCAAGTGATAAATATATTTACGATACATTCATCATATATTTACTCTCTAAGGAGGGGTGCTCATCGGCTATAATATATGTCCATGTTCAAAATAAATTACCGTTTGATCCCATTGCTGGAGTTCTTCGCATGCCAAGGAGGATGCTCATTAGCCAGTTCTACTAGGGGATCATTTATAAGAACATAATCGTGAGGCATTCACGTGGCAAGGAAATTGAAACCTGGTCGACTGATCACCTCATTGTATCATCATTCTTGATGTTATCTCCATTAACTACAAAATATGAAGAGCGAAACGATCACAAAATCAAACAAGCAGCTTGGATGCCTGCGACAGAGACAAGGAACCTTCTGTAATAATATTGGATAACCCTTCAGCCATATCTCGAACATGCAAGAGTTGTCAATCGAAACAAAACAATACATCATGATGTAGCCATCATTAGAAAAACAAACCACAATTTTACTATCACACCCTGCATAGAATTTTTTTATCTCTCACTCTAAACCCATTTTATTAATAGATTTAATTGATTATCGTCAACTATAACGATACAAGGGTCTATCACCAGTCCTTTCTAATTCTCTCTATTCCTTCTTTCACCTTCTCTTCTCCCCCCCCCCTGTTTTTCTCTTTGTTGATCAGATCTGAAACTTTGTGTTTTCTTTTGTTTAATACTTATTCTCTTCTTTTCTTATGAAAATTGTGGTTATTTTTGTCTTTTACAAATTTTAATTTTATTTTTACAATTACTTTGTCAATATCAATTCTCTCATCTTGATAAATACTTGGTCACTTTCTATAAAAGAGAATACAGAGTCGCTTCAAATGTATTATGTACTTAAATTGTAATAAAATTAGTTGTTAACAAAATGTTAGGGTTGACCATATCTGTTCTTTCTCCTCCAACGTTTCTATTTTTTGTTTTTCTGAGTTATTTGATGGTTCTATTTTATAAAATAAATAAATTAAACTTTCATATTGAGAAAATATATCTGAACCATTAAGGCTATTTATATAATTTACATCTTAATTTTTTTTATTTGAAATTGGACATAACCCCTCATTTAAAAAAAAATATATCCACCTTAAATAACCCATTTATTTACTATACAACTTTATTTTTTTAACCATCTACTTCTAATATTTTTTTTACTTCAATAAAAACTACTAAATGTTTACATTTGAGCTCGAAATTCGGATTCTGCTGATATCAGACTATATAAATGCATTAATCCCTCTTTCACTTGCATTTTCTTTACTTCAATCCACAAGTGAGAAAAGTCAATACTTAAAATAAGCTTGGAAACAAGGTCACAAATTCACTTTAACAATAGAAACCAGTAAAATAAATTTCATTCTGTGAGATTTTCCCCAAGCCTATATAACGCCTAAAAGAAGGACGAAACAATTCTGTCAGCCAGAAAAAGGGCCGACAAAATCTACGACGTGTTGATTTTGATTGTAAAAATAACCCAATTTCCCTAACAATCCAACCGGGGAATGTGAGCACCAACCTACTAAAAGAAAGAACAATTGCAGATGAGAATGTAACTCTTCCAACCTTTGATTTAAGATATTCTCCTATATGTTCTGACTGCAATAATCTGGAAGTGCAACACAGTTTTCTTTTTCCTTTTAGCATACATTCACAATGGCATCTTTAGCATGTTAGCCTCGGTCTATCATCGAGTCTTCCCGCTTCCAAGTGTGAGCTTTAGATCATCCAATCCTACTTCATGGATCCTCTCTCCTTCGAATGGCTTCACTTGTCCACTCTCAAACTGAAACTCCGAACCATGCCCTTTCTCTTTGATCAAATCATTGGGCAATCTTCGTGGAGCAAAGGGTTGCATGGGATTAAACGTTGGAGACGTTGGCATTTGAGATGTAGAAGGTGCAAAGTTTTGAAAGCTTATCCATTGACCCGATTCAACCGTTGGTGTATCAGACTCGTCGCATTCAAGTATAGTAGCCGGGGCATGAAAATGACAGTGAGTTGGACTAGGCGGAGCAGAGACTGCAAACAAAGGGTAGTTAAAGGAGGCCATGGACTCTTTGTCAATGGCTTCCCAGTTTGGAATTAGCTTAGGATTTCTTGAAGTTGGAGATGAAAGTGGTGGTGTCACTGGGGTAATGTTTGAGATTCGGAGAGGTGGCAGAGATGAAGGGATGGCACTTCGAAGAAACGGGAGGAAACTAGATGGGCCATTAGCATCTAGCCTGGTGGGACTAGGGAAAGAAGAGGAGGAAGGACTGACTTGACATGAAGGAATCGGGCTTGGAAATGCAGACGACAATGGGCTCGGATTTTGGGATGAAAATGGGGTAATTTTAGCTGAACTGCCATGTCTATCAATTGTAGCCAGTGGTGGCTTACATCCCTAGCAACAAATGCAATTAAAAACCAAAATTGATCAACACTACTTACATTTATCAATCAAGAGCCATGAGAATTTTACAGGAAAAAATGGACCAAAAAAAAAGAGAGAAGAATGAGGCAATTAATACCAAGCTAATCACGAAAAATTGTTCAATGTTCATCAATGCTTCATTTCAGCTATTTAATGAAGTTCAAGTTCTAATACAGATCAATGAATGATTGTCTATTTAACAACTGCTAGTTTCAAAAACAACGAAGCCATTTTTTACCCAATATTTAACGTTTCTTCAATGTTTCATTTCAGCTATTTAATGAAGTTCCAGTTCCAGAACAGATCAATGAATGGTTACCTCTAATTAACAAATGCAAGTTCAAGAACAATAACTTCCAATTTTCTACCCAACATTTCAAGCAAGTAAATAAACTCAAAACCAAAATCAAAATAAAAATTGAAAAGATCAAAAGTCCCAGAGAGCGAAATCAACCTAAAAACAAGTTGAAACTAGATCCAAGTAAATTAGAACAAAAACTGAATAGATCTACAAATGGGTAACTAGAGGGGAAAAAGAGAGAGGAAGCAAATGGTAAATTAGATACCTTTCTATAGGTGGTGCCATCTTCTTCAACAACCCTACCAGCCTCGGCACAAAGAACTTTGAGAACTTCATTGTTATCACAATGTTTGGGTAGATTGTAATTCCCTTGAACTCTAACCCAGTATAAATCTTAGCAGCAATGGCTCTTCTCCTCCTCTCTCTCCTCCTGTTACTCTCTCTCTCCCTCAAAGACGGTTTCCTCCTAGGCGACGCCGGCGTCGACGTCGCCCCATATGACGTCATCTCTCCGGTTTTACAAACCCAGGTGAAGAGGATCCGTTGGACCACAAGGAAAACGCTTTTGCTTTGCTGGAAGAAGTAAACACAATGTTAAACGAAAGAATCTCCCTCTACGTCAAGCTATTACAGTCTATTAGTATAAATTTATATTGAAAAATAATGGACAAATGAATTGCATCTCAATTTTCTCGCTTTATTTAAGACCCGAAAGATGAAAAGGGAAGTAAGAAGAAAAAAGAATACACTTGGCCATGTCCGGGAGATTCGAGCAAGCCGTCTGGTGTAATAAATTCCATTTATCATAAATGATTTGCAATGGGCTTAAATTAAATTGCAATTCATTTATAAATATTTAAAATAGTAATTATTTTAATTTATGGATATATTTAAATTCAACTACACTTTTTTAATAATTACTTTATGATATTTGAATACATTCTAGATAATTTTTTTTAAAAATAATTAATTTTTCTCCAGTCTTGAAGCTCTCTTAAAAGGTATAGTCTGTTAAAGGAGATTAAAAAAAGAGTAAACTATACATTTGGTCATTAATATTTGAGGTATTTTTATTTTTTTCACTGAAGTTTTAAAAGTTACAAATCAATCACTAATATTATCAATTAATTATAAAATGATTACTCAACGTTAACAACCGTTACAAAAACACACTCGACACATTAGCTGCTAAAATTGATGGGGTTGACTGGATTGACCACCATAATGGATACCAACATCTTCTCCTTTAAAAAAGTAGAGATAGAAGAAAATGTTCTCCTCTAACCCGTTATCTCGCAGCGTTCCCGACCCTACCTTCGAACCGTAGCTATGTGATTTCAGCTAGCTAGATGTCATCAACGACCATCAATCCGCCGGCACCTCCGTCGCCTACACCACCACCACCACCACTCCCACAATCAACGACTCTACAATAATCATGCCAGTAAGCAGCTTCCTTTTCGGATATTTGGTCTCTTTTCTCTCTCATTTTTGGACGAAACTCCTTCGTGGACTAAAGGGTTCTTCGCGGAATTTGGGTCCTATTCGTTTCCAGCTTCGGTTTCCCAAGCTAGCCTCAGGGTTCAAGAGAATGTTAAACGTTATGAGCAAAATTATGCCTCACTTTTTATTCTCTTCTTTGCTTGTTCTCTGTAAGCTCAAAACCCTCATTTTTCATATGCATTTATTTCTTGTTAATTGTGAGGATTGTTTTGGTTCTTTCGAAGGATAAGTAAATTGGATTTTCTCTTTTTTTCCTGACAAAATTATGGGGAAAAGAGAGAAAGAAAAGTTTTAGAATTAAGATAGTTTATACTGTATACATCCAACTTGGTTAATTGCTTGCTTTTATTCTCTTCTTTACTTGTTGGGTTGATATCAAGTTTGGCACTTTGGGATTCATTCAGGTTCTTCAGTGATAAATGGGATGAAGATATCTCTTCGATTACATTCCATGATAAAAGAAGCCGCTTGTCTATTTATAGGGGTTTTGGTTTTTCAATTGAGATTGACAAATCGTTGCCCGATCTTGTTTATGGTGATGATATGAGAGTTTTTCAGGTGATACTGTTTAAAATAATTAAAAAGAACAGAAAATGGGAGTGGGAGTGAGAGTGAGAGTGGAACGACCATTTCTTCAAATT